ATGCAATACGTCGTCTGATCTCTTGACTGCTGGAACCAACTAGATGACACTTAACAACAAATATGACCTCACTTTGAAATGTTTGAACCAATCCCGACTAGCAATACATTTATCATCACAATCAGCTTCACCTGGTGCATGTTGTCATTATGTACCATGGAGTTGGTTCTGAGTCATAGCAACCCTGTACAAGGCTTCCGAGGCTGTAAATCTTTATGGGAGCAGAAAGCCTCATCTTTCTCCCGCCGAACAGCTGGTAGTTTCCATGCACAGCTTTAAATCATTACAGACTTGGAGCTTTTATTCCATGAAAGAAGTGAACCTGTTCTGACTTACCTGCTTCTTTAAGACACGCTCAGGAATGGATCTCATTTGTAACTCAGGGTCTGCCTGTATGTAGTTGTTGTTGTTCGTTGTTAAGTGCCGTTGAGTCGGTTCCAACCCATAGTGACCCTGTATAGGGTTTCCGAGGAGCAGCTGGTGAGCTTGAACCACCGACCTTGCGATTCAAATAGATTTGCAGTCCAGTGCATTAACTCACACCTCCACACCAGACTTGTATGTCATAGGAGTCAGGAACTTGGGAGAACATGTGTTTGGAAACAATGCTTTATGTATGTAGCTCAAGCTTACTTCTTCCTCTCTTGTTTTGAGTCTTTACCACCTTTGTGCATTGTTGTTAAGTGCCACCAAGTTAGTACTAATGCATAATGACCCTGAATTGGGTTTCCAAGGAGCAGCTGGTGAGCCTTGTAGTCCAGTGTATTAACCCACAGCACCACATCAGGACTCCACATTTGTGCATTACTCACACAATTATTGATCAAATAAAACCCACCAACCACATACATCCAAGCAAAACCGTATTTTGCATGTCATTCTCAAACTCAAGCTCATCATCTTCCGCATAAGCAGGATCTTTATTTTTACTTCCTTACTTCTGTATAAACAACCAGAACCTTTTTTAAAAAGTCTATTCATGAAATCTCATCAAGACTTGAACTTTCAGATTAATCTTCATTAATAATGCCCTCTTCAATAATGATTAATCTTCAGCATGATGTCCTCTTGATGCTGCTTCTCAACTGTGACACCTCTTTCCCGGCCTACTGCCACCCTCCCCGGCAAGTCCTCGCATGTCCACCTCCTGGAAGACCGTGTTAATGTCATAACTGGTGTTGTCCAGTGCCATGGAGTCAGACCCAGCTCATAGAGACTCTGTACAGCGGGGGTGGGGAATGTTTTTTCTGCCAAAATTTGTACATCATTCACGGGCCATACAAACTTATCAACTTAAAAATTAGCCTGCTATATTTGGTCAAACATTTGATTAACTCAACCCTAATGTGATGGATGCAGTCTAAGTATGGCGCCATGGAATAAAGCACTGGACTGCAAGGTCGGTGGTTCAGACTCAGCAGCAACTCCTTGGAAACCCTATATGGGGTCACTATGGGTCAAAACTAACTCAACAGTACCTAACAGCATGATGGCTGGAACTGCGGTTGCCTTGGCAGGGCCAAATCAAATGATTTCGTGGGCTATATGTGATCAAACATTTAATTAACTCACCCCTCAAGGTCAGCAGTTCAAGTTCACCAGCCCCTCCTCAGAAACCCTATACAGGGTTTCTATGGGTTGGAACCTACTCTATGGCATTTAACATAATGGCTGGAGTGTGGCGCAGCGGGTTAATGCACTGGACTGCAAAGTTGGTTTGAACAAGATTGGCAGTTCAAGCTCATCTTTTGCTCCTTAGAAACCCTATACAGGGTCGCTGTGGGTCGGAACCAACTAGACAGCGCTTAACAACAACCACACCAATCATTTGATTTGGTCTGGCCCTGTGAGCTGAACATTCCCCACCTCTGCTGTACAGGGTTTCCAAGAGCAGATGGTGGATTTGAGCTGCAGTCCAGTGCTTATCTTACAGCGCCTCACCAAGGCCCACCATCACAGCTACACGGATGTCAACTCCCCTCCTGTGGTTTCTTCCTGATGTTCTTTAAAGGGTTCCAGATTTCTGCCTCAGGCATGCGGATTGCATTTCCTGGACCCCTAGTGATCCTGGGACCACAGGACTGATTGTGGTCCATGAGTTGTGAGAAGTAGTGTGTGCCACTTCGGGTTGGAGCAGTTAATTATTCTTTCTCTCTGTAAAAGTAGCCTACAATCTTGTTAATACTAGGGCAACAGGGACACCACACTGGCATAATGGGACGGGATTGTTGGGGCCCACTGATTTTCACAGGCTGGTTTTCAGCAGATTACCCAAGCCTCTCTTCCCTAGTCTGGAAACCCTGCTGAAACCGGTTCGGTATCACAGTCCTCCACTGACAGGCTGGGTGGTCCCTTCCTCTTTTCCTCTGTATGGAATTCCTATTAAACCAGAGTTGGCTCTTCTTGCTTTGTCTTTTACTTCTAATTCTTCTTTCACATACTCCATCTCCTTATCTCTGTATGTACTGGACAGCTAATTAATTGCAGGGTTGGTAGTTCAAACCCACCAGCTGTTCCTCAGGAGACAGATGAGGATCTCTGCTTCCATTGAGATTTAAAGCCTAGGAAGTCTTAATACAGGGTTCTCTGTGAGTTGGAATGGGCTCAGTGGCTGTGGGGCCTATTTCTGTGCTAAGTAATTTCTTCAAGATTTATCCTCCAGTTTACCAACTCTCTTTTCAGTTGAACCCCACTGAACCTCCCTGGAAGTTCCGGGGCCCCCCGCCCCCCAGAGGAGCATTAACAGGTGATCATTTTCTCCTCTAGATTTCTTTTAGTTTGTGTGTCCTGGGCATTCTCATCACTCTCTTGTGCACTGTTAGGTTTGTTACGTATTTCCAAGCACTTCTGGGTATTTAAGGTTTCTCTAATAAAAGTCATATTGCCAAAAACAAAAATTCTAGTATCGTATTTTGTGCAGACTTTTTATTTGCCGAATAAATGAATATTTGTCAATATGTACATAAACACATAGAGCGAGCACTGGACTCGGAGTAAGAATATCTGAGTTCGGGTCCTCATGGGCACATACTGGCCACAAGGCTTTAGGCAGAGAACTGAATCTGAGCTCAGATTCCTCAACCATAAAACAAGGGTATTAAGACCTGTGCAGTGCACCACACAGATTTATTGCAAGGTTCAAATTCAGAAACATATGGAAGCGCCATGAATACAACTTAGAGCAATACAAATATAAATATAACAAGTAACAGCCATCAAACTTCAAGTTGAGGGGTACTTAATCACGCCCTGGGGCTATACCCATGAACGGATGGAGTAAACGAGAAAAGTGACGAAGAGTTGATTGTGAATGAGAACAAATATCCTAATTCTTCTTCGCGTGGGAAGAATTCTGCAATATCCTGTAGCTTGTTCCTGCAATGAATCACTCCCTAAACGTCTTCATGACGATGTTAGAGACCCACCATCAATAACTCTCTCACAGAAGCAGAAGGGCCAAATGTCCCATGTTTATTTACATATGAAATGTGTTTAATACAGTTAGGATGGATTCAGGGTACATACAACACCAAACAGCAGCAAGACCCTCTGAGGAACGGAACGCTGACTACAGTATATCATGCAAGCATCTCTATATACACAAAACAATCTCTTAAAAAAAAACCAAAGTACAAAACACGTTTAGGGATAAATACAGGATTTTAAAAAATGACAAAAGAAAAAAACAAAAAACACAAAAAACAAACCCACACCACCAAAAAAAAAAAGAAAAAAAACAAAAGAAAAAGAAAGGTCAAAAAACCCAGCTCCCTAGAGAACTACAAATAGAAGGGACAAGAAGTACCTGTGTTGCATTTCAATGAAACTCAACTACCCACGTGAAATCTACTTATTGAAATGTGTGGATGACAGCCGCGTGGCTCAGTGCTGAAGCTAACATAGGGCTAGCTGGAGCTGCAGCATTGATTGCTAAGTCGGTGGTGAAGTTGTGCATCCCAGAAGTACCAGGACGTTTGGCAGTAGCACCTGAAACAGGAAACGCCAACTCTGTAGACAGCAAAGGGGTAGGTCAACTGGGATTTGAATTTTTTTTTTTTTTTAACCTGTCAAGAGCCAGAGAAATACTTGATATGATATTCTTAGTCGTGTCTCTGCAATAGTTAATAAATTACTTGACGAAAACCTGACTCTAGAAACCTATTGATCTAACTACGGGTTTGTAGCTTTTACAAATAGCCCAGCCCTTCTCTCATTGTAGCTCCTTGTGCTCTTTAAACCAGCCTTGCAAACCCACCCAGACAACCACTAAACCCCCACTGTTGCCTTTGTAATGCCCTCCCCCTCCCTATTCCTCCAGATGGAATGCTGGGAGTCCACGCTCAGCTCTGGACCCAGTCTTCACCACTAGGAAGAGGCAATTTGCAAGGTTGCTGCGAACACCTTGTGGCGTGGCCTGGAAATCCCATGATGCACCTGTGTGGGGCTGCACTCACGCTGAGTAGACGCCCCGAGGAGCGTGCTAAGACACTTAGAAGTTCCTAGTGTTTTTGAGACCCACGATCAACTACAATTTATGTAGTGAATTCTAAAAATTAAAAACACTAAAAAAGGCATTCGCCTTGCCTGTCATTAGCTAACCCATTGAAATTCTTAAATTACAAAATGGTTTGACTTCAGGAACTGCCCCCCCTCTCCCCGCCCCCCCACCTGTGACTAAGAACTCTGTTAAAGAAAACGGTACAAAACAGAAAAATCCTAATACCCCACCCCCTCCAAAAAAAAGACTCAAAACATTTTCCACTAAATACTGATACAAACATGTAACAAAGAGTATAAAAAGTTATTCCTTTAAATATATACAAACTCTTTTAAACTCAAATACTGTTTTAATACTTATCATCGAGGATATATACCACGAGGTGAAGAAAGAACAACAGCCGAGACAGTACTGTTAACTCTATTATACTGCAAACTTTCTGTAACAGAAATGTCTTTTGTCTTCCAATGTGGACAGGGGTTTCCTTGCGGACTGTTGGTGGCTATTTCTCGGCGGAACTCATTCTTTTGGATTTGATGAAGGCCATGCCATGGGTCCGCATGTGAGTATTTAAGGCAGCTTCCGTTTCAAAAGCTTTGGCGCACACTTTGCACTTCCTGTCGGACTCTGTGCCCTCGGCCGTGTTGTCCTCGGCGCTGGGTTTACTCTGCTGACCCTCGTCTCCGGCTCCGTTCTGCTTGGACACTGGCTGTACCTCCTTCAGCTTGTGCACGATGAAGAGGTGCCGGGACAGGGAGACATTGGACGTGTAGCAGAGCCCGCATTCCCGGCACTGGTAAGAGGAGCCGTCGGACTTGTGCTGTGGGATGTGTTCGTGAAACTGCAGGAGATTCTCTGTGGTGAAACCACACACAGCACATTTGTGGACTTTGAAGACATTGATCTTCAACTTTTTCAGCGGCTGAGTGATGGCTCCACGAGGCGGTCTGAACTCTAAGACGGGTTCTTCCAACTTCCGCTTTGGACTGGGGGCCTTGGAGAAAAGGAAGGACAGGGGGCACAGTTGGCAACTGTTCTGCTGGGCAATGATCAGCTGCCCCTGGCTTGAGGGTTACTCCGAAAGCATGCCCACTAAGCTTTGGGACCTGTTTCTTTTAATGGCTGTACACTTGCCAACCTACCGGAGGCATCCACTCACCCGTCATCTTTTCCACAAATGGGAACCAAGTTCTGCGCAGGCCAGTGGAGCCTGGCAGAGAGCAGCCAAGTCCCTGACAAAAACTAACACACTAGTACACTTAGGGAATGTCAGACACTGGGAAGTCAAGCAGGGCATGGTTACCCTTTGCCATTGAGTCAATTCTGACACGTAGCGAACCCACAGAACAGAGTAGAACTGCCCCAAAGAGTTCCCAAGTCTAAATCTTTATGAAAGGAAACTGTCATATCGTCCTCCTACAGAGGTGGATGGTGATTTGAACCGTCAGCTTTTCAGTCAGCAACTGAATGATTAACCCCAGCACCAGGGGTATAGTAGACTGGTTGGAAAGCAGTGAGGGGTGGGAAGGGTTTCTGGGTCACATGCTGGGTGACAAGTGGCACCGGATCAGAGTGTGGACCACATGGTGAGGAGCAGTAGAGAGTCCAGGCAAAGGAAGCCGAGCATGTGGAGATGTGAGGTGGGAGCCTGCCGTGGGCATGGGGTGCAGCCGGGAGGTGGAGGGGCTCGAGTCGAAGCTCAGAAGCAGTGCAACAGGTGAGCCAGGGGACACGGGCTGGTGCCAAGCATTGTGTGTGTGAGAGAGACAACATCAGGGCAGACAGAAGACACTGGGAGATTCGCCTGAAGCTCTGTGAGGAAGTAACAAAACCAGTCCCCTCAGGAAAAGACCCTAACACACAAAGGACAGCTCATCACATTTCTCTGAAATTAGCTTTAAATTAACCTATCTGTGCAACTTGCAGTGAAAAGTTATTTAGGATCCCACATGCTCAGTTCTGTGATATGTGGGATACAAGGCTCCTGGCCTTCACACAGTAGAGGAGACAGGTACCTGCAGAGGTACAGAGGACCAGAGACAGTGTGAGGATCTAAGGTCTGTCTGGGACTATGGCATTTAAGCTGAGACCTAAAATGAGGTTGGCAACCTGAGAAGATACAGGGGAAAGGAACTCCAGGCAGAGAACAGAAGCATGTTCAAAGGTCCTGAGGCCACAGGGCCACACTGCTGGTTGGCTACCCACCACCTCTCTCCCTCCACTTCCTGTCTTCCTAGCAGAGTTTTCTCCCTGGTTCAGGTACCTACCTGCACCCAAGCAACCCAATGCTTCAGATGAGCTACCCCACCTTCGGCTTCAGCGGGGCTCTGGTTGCCTAAGGATATTCCTACACTCCTTTGCCAATGGCTGGCTCAAGAACGGACGTGTAATCCAACGGAGGACACGGCCAGCATTTGTTGTGAGATCAGGTGGAGGAGGAAGAGCCAGAAAAGAGTGAAAGCCTGCGGTACCCTGATACTCTGCGGGGTCGGAGCCGCCCTAATGAGAGGTTTCCCTGTAGGCTGCAGCAGAGCCACACTCTGGGGCTCCTTGATGAGGTCAAACAGCAGCAACACAGGTCCTCCAGTGTCCATGTTTCTACAGGCTAACATCCTGAGACAGAATCCTCTTACAGCTGACCGCCTGTCGGCATTTACTCTAGCTGGCAGTCAAGTTTCTTGCTTTGTTGATGCTGTTAGGAGCCATCGAGTCAGTTCTGACTCACAGTGGCCCTAAGCACAACAGAATGAAACACTGCCCGGTCCTGCACCAACCTTACAAGTGTTATATTGCTGCTGCCACTGTGCCGAGCCATCTTTCGGGGGACAGATAAAATAATATGATCTTATAACTGATGGCACCTTAATCAACAAAATATTCTCATTCACAGCTATAGACACAGTCTGTTCCAGAACAAATCTTTCCAGTGACACATGACCTCTCCAGAGGTTGGGGGGAAGGAGGTGGCCTCCACCTTCCCTGCCTACTCATCTTCAGAGTGGTCCCTCCCTCCTCTTCACCTGCCATCCCCTCACTCCTATGTCTCCGAAACTTCAAGGCAAAGTGACATTTCACCCCTGCGAACTTCCTGCCTGTTCCTACAGTGTATCTCACAGACCACCTCAAACTGATGCTGTGACTACGGCCATGCCCCACCTGCTGATGGGAGGGGAGGACTGTCTTTAAGTCTTCTCCAACCTGCTTGTGTCCTGGTCACTTCTCATCAGTGACCACCCCTGGAAGTCACAGAGTCTCCTATATTTCCTGGAGGTTGCTTTCTCTGACTCCCGGGTGGCACCTGGCACACACAATGCACACAGATTAGTGTATTCTTTGTTCTCTGAATGAAATTCATTATTGGCTGATAGGGGAGCACAGTGGCTCCATATCATAAACACAGGGCTGGGAACCACAAGGTCCCAGGTTCGAGCCCACCAGCCACTCCACAAGAGAAAGATGAGGCTTTTTGTTCCTGCAAAGATTCTAAGTCTCAAATTCTTTATAAGGTCACTATGAGTCAGAACCAACTCAATGACACTTAACAACATCTGCTGATAGGAACATAAAGCACACTTAATGTGTTTTCCTGCATTATCATTACAAAGAGTTCAAGCAACCAATCATTTTTACTAGATACCTAAAACAGCCAAAAGGAACCCTGGTGGCTCAGCAGTTAAGTGATGAGACACTAACCAAAAGGTCAGTAGTTTTAACCCACCAGCCACTCAGTGGGAAAAAAGAGGCAGCCGTCTGTTTCCATATATGTTACAGCCTCGGAATTTCTAACCTGTCCTGTGGGGTCACTAGGAGTAGGAAGCAACTTCACAGCAATAGTTGCTATGGTTTTTGGAATAACAACAAATATGTTCCGGATGAAATGAACCTAATGGATATATTCCTTCTGTAAGTCAACAAAGAAATTTAAAATGTATACGTGTAAGCAGCAGAGGGTCAGTGGATTAAGAGGATGACCGGTGGACATGGTGGCTGTAACAATGGTTATGAGAACTCCTGGCATGGTGCTGTGGGTTAAAGCGCTGGACTGTAAAGTCATTTGAATCGTGAGGTTGGTGGTTCAAGCTCACCAGCTGCTCCTTGAAAACCCCATACAGGGTTACTGTGGCTCAGAACCAACTCTACGGCACTTAACAACAACAGGTTGGAACCAACTCGAGGGCAAACAGCAACAATGTGAGGATGGTGCCAAAATGGCAGTGTTTCATTCTGTGGTACAGGGGGTCGCTATGAATCAGAACTGATGCGAAAGCATCAAAACAACATGGATGCAGATCTGTCATGCTTTTTCCAGAAGAATGCGGAAGAAACTTACTAAGGTTAACTTTTAGGAGAAAGGAGTCCTGAGGGTTGCTGTGAGTTAGACAATGAGCTAACCACAATGTTGGCGGTTCAAATCCACATGCCACTCCATGGGAGGAAGGTGAGGCTGTCTGATTTTCAGTCTCGGAAACCCTACACTGGGCCCCTATGAGTTAGAACTGACTCGATGGCAGTGCGTTTAGCTTATTTGGGGTTAAGGAGGATACAGGAGGAGTCAGAAGGGGCCTCGATGGAGATGGCCTATTACTTTACACCCTGGTTCACAATCTAACTGTCTAAAACTGCACAACCGAGCACATGCAAGGAGAGACCCGTTTCCAGGGATAAATGCAAAATGCAAGTCAACGTGGTTTGGCTGTAAGGAGGACATGTGCAGTGCCTGACCTTGGCATCCTCCTTAACGTCTGATTCCTCCTCGTTGGTGCCTTCAGTCATTTCTTTTACGTCAGGGTCCTTGATGCCGTGCATCAGCTGGATGTGTTTCTCCAGCATCAAGCGCTTACTGAAAGTGCACCTGGAGTCCGGGCAGTGCCTGTAGAACAAAAGACAAAGAGAATCGACTTGCTGATCTAAGCACCTCATGCCGAAGGATGGGCTCACTAGCTGAGAGCACACTCAGAGAGCTCCCTGAGCTATAGAGACCAACAACCCCAAGCTAACCAGCCACCGGGCAATGCGGTAGATCGGTTGGTAAAAACACATTGTACAGCTTTGGTAAAGTATTGCCACATTCTGCGTCCTTCCAAGGCCAGTCAGATTTGAATCAGAAGAGAAAATTTCTTTTCTAGGGTTGGTTTAATGTTACTGCTGGAACTTGTGATTCTAGATGGCTTTAATTTTAAATTGCTGTTGTTAAGTGCCATCAAGTCATTTCCGATTCACAGCAACCCTGTGTAGGGTGTTTTCCGAGGAGTGGCTGGTGAGTTTGAACCGCCGACCTTGTAGTTCAAACCAATCTTGTGGTCCAGTGTCTATCCTACAATGCCACACCAGGACTCCAACTGTGAATTGGAAGGTAACAAATTTCAAAAGGTTTCCTTATAATGACTCAGAATATTCCCCTAGAATTTATAACATGACAGACTCTTTTAATATCAAGGAAGAAAGCCCCTCCAGGGCCTGACGTTAATTATTTCTGTCTGCTCTGCCACAGCCAAGAGAAGACAGAATCTAAATCTAGCCCAGTCAAATTCTCCCTCAGAGCATGAATCTAATATGTACTTACAATCACAGGACTCAAATGTTTGTTCCTTCAATAGACTAAACATTGAGGATCGTGAACAGATATCCCAAACAGCTCATTTAAAAAAAAAGTTTTCATTTTATTTAATGCAAAAAATATATATTATTGTTATTGCTGTTAAGTGCTGTCGAGTTGGTTCCGACTCATCGCGACCCTAAACAGGGTTTCCAAGGAGGTAGCTTGTGAGTTTGAACCACCAACCTTTCTTTGAACTCCCATCCTTTTGGTTCGCAACCCAACATTTAAACTGCCGCGGTTAGATTTAGTTTACTTTTTTCTTTGGACAGTATGAATAACCATTTTCTTAATAAACCAGGCAAAAGTAAGTACAATGTTAATAACTCTGCTGAATAGGTATGCTATAAGCCAAACATTAAGAATACCACTACAAAGAAACAAAGCAATTATTCTATAAGACAGTCTACACAAACCGCAGTCTCATCTACACAGCGATCACAAGTACCAGCGACCACTACCAACCATTCTAATCAAGGCACAATAGAAAGACACTGAGAGATGGGAGAGAAATATGGAACAGAACCTCAAATCCCTGAACAAAACAAAACTTAAAAAGAAATCAGACCTACTGGACTGGCTGAGAGAGGACGCTGCCCTAAAATACTCCTCAAATCCTGAATACAAACTATCCTCTGAGGTCACATTGTAGTCTTAAAACAAACTAGTTCAAAAAATAATGACTACCATCTCTAAGTACTGTGTTGTTGGTAAGTGCCATCAAATTGGACTCTGTATAGGTTTCCAACGCTGTAAATCTTTATGAGAGTAGAAAGTCTCATCTTTCTCCTGTGGAGGGGCTAGTGGGCTCGAACCTCTGACCCTGTGGTTTGCCGTCCAGTGCTTATTTATCTTACAGAGCCAACACACTCCCCTGTAAATATTGTGTCTCCTTAAAAAACAAAACAAAAAAACCCCCATCTATTTGGAACCGAATGTTCAACAATTACTTTAAAAAAAAGATGGAAATGCAAGGGTGCAGGAAAACTAGATTCATGGAACCCAAAAAACTAGAGTGGCTTACACATTATGAAGAATGGAAATGAAGTCACTTAGCAAGTTATGCAGAAAGTGTTGGATGGGAACTTAAATTGCTGAATCAACCTTCACCAAAAAATATTAAAATGTTAAAAAAAAAAAAACAAAAAAACAATTAGAATACCACTGTAGTAAGGTGGTCTTACTTAGAACCAAGTTTGCTGCCTTCAGAAAATCTCCTGAGGATTTCATAAGGATTGTCCCTCAAACCCTGACAATTTTACACAGAGACCTCCACAGGGGTAGTACCTCGACCCAGCATCAATGCAAAGAACAAATGCTCCAGTGAGGAAGAGTTTCTGCTGCCAATGAATTCAGCTGGCCAATTCTCACATTTTACGACCTTACAGTGATTCCCCCAGGGAAAGGAAACAAAGCTGGCAGATGGCGGAGTATGCCTACCAGGCGTCCTTTCCCTTCCTCTCCACCCAGATTCTCCATTTCAGTCTGAAGGAGCCCTCTGATTAGACCTCAACAGACTTTATTTATGGAATGTCCTCATTTCACCCAAATCACTACCAGCTTCAATTTCAATGAAGGAGAGTCTGCAAAGAACCTTCCACAAGACCCTTTCCTTGAAGTAGCCAACACATGGTAAACTTTCATTAACCTGTGGTCAATGCAACCTGAAAATCGACCAGCTCCACAACATACACTTAACCTTGCTTCTCTCATGTCCACAGTGTGTAGACGGCTTCTATATATTCAGTGTCTGCTCAGTTCTCTTTTGTTCATCAAAGAAAAGGTGTCTTAAAGTAAGTAATGTTAGTATACCAGTCACTCTAGGGAGTAACTAGTATCATTCTCATCGTCTGGCTAAGCGATTAACAAAAACCCCACTGCTGTCTAGCCCATTGTCACTCACAGCCACCCTAAAAGACAGAGTAGAACTGTTCCCACAGGACTTCCCAAGCTGTAAATCTGTAGAGGAGCAGAATGCCTCATCTTTCCCAGAGCGGCTGGTGGGTTTGAATTCCCACGCACCCTTTTGGTTACCAACACAATGCTTAACCCGCCGTGCCATCAGGGTTTCCTTTGTGATATGTAGGGGATACAGGTTTGTCCTTAATAAGAGGAGAATAAGCTCTGATCTTCATCTACACAATGACTGTCCTCTGAGGGTTGGAGTTTTGAGTTGGCCCTCTTGATCTCTCCTGTTTTCGTCTGAGTCAATACTGTGAACTGAAAAAAGCCACCCTACATTAGGGAGGGACTATCGCCAAGGGCAGAAGGCCCAGTCTAGGCCAGAATCCAAGTCCCAGCCCTACCCGCGCCACCTCCGAACCACTGAGTAACTCAACCAGCCAAGGAGAAGGCTGGCAGGGCCTGGTGTGTATAGGGATCAGAAAGAAGCAGGTCATTCAGCCACACAGCTGCAAACCCATCCCCTCCCACTGACTCTCAGTAATAAAATACAGACCTCTGGGTAACAAATAAGAACATAAGAATGTACACAGGGCATGCAAGGGAGTGCTTCCTTTTATTTTCATATTTGTAAGTGTTACAATCCAAGCAGAAAAAATGACAGGCCAAACAACAGAACAGAATTTAAAAATGGAGGCTATAAACCATGGAGAAAATGGAGAATCGAAGGTTAGTGGTCAAATCGGAAGGGGGACAAACAAAAACAAAAACAAAAACCTTCCGAAGTTCCAACGTCACTGTTTCACTGCGTCTCTCACATTAGAAGTTCTAACTTACGAGCAGGTATACACTTTCCTAATGCCTTTGTGCTTGATCCGATTGTGGCGGCACAGGCTGTGGGAGGAGCTGAAAGACTTGTCACACTGGCGGCACGGGTGTTTCTTCATTTGCTTTATTAGGAGAGAAGAGAAGAAGAGAAAATCACATCAGAAGATGAAAACAGGAAACACTGTAAAACGCAGGTCGCTTTCCTCACGATTAAGTTAAGCAACCATTATCATTTGTTGTTGTCAAGTGTCATCAAGTCGGTTCCGACTCATAGAGCCCCTGTACAGGGTTTCTAAGCAGCGGCTGGTGGACTTGAACCACTGACCTTGCAGTTCAAACCGACCAGTGCTTCTCTGACAGTGCCACACCAGAACTCCCATTATTGGCCAGCAATAACAAAATTAGGAGATTCTTGGAAAAATGCCGTAAAAATGGAAGGCAGGGCTAACATAAATGTGAAAGGGCTGAATGTAACAAGACAAGAGGAATGTCTCTCAAAGTAAGAGACAAGATTTTTCTCTCACAGTACATATACTTTAGATTCAATACAAACATCCAGGTACTTGGAACTAAGAAAAAAACATGACACAAATTTTTTGCAGAAGAGATGAGATAAAAGTTTTGTTTGTTTTCTTAAAAGCAGGTAATAGATCATGTTACTAAATACCCACCAGCTGCTCCAGGGAAGAAAGATGAGACTTTCTGCTCCTGCAAAGATTTAAAGCTTAGGAAACCCTGTTACAGGGATGCTATGTGTCAGAGACACTCAGTGGCACTTAACAACAACAATAAAGAATCTACTTGATGTGTTGTATCCAGAAAGAATAAACTACCTTCTCCAAAGAGCTCACATTTTAAATAAACTCTCTGACTGATTTTAAACATTAAAAACAAAACAAAACAAAAAACCTTCAATGATTAAGTACTGGTTATATAAAGAAAGAATCTTCTAGACGACCTTTTCTTTTAAATAGAAAACAAAGTTTGGAATCACTTTAAAGGGATTTTGTGTGTGTGTATATGTGTGTAACAGAAAAAGAGGGATGGAGAGAGACAGAAAGCTATCAAAAGATCAATACAAAAATCAATGTAGGTATGCCTAACTTTTTCCCCACATATTTAAAAGTTTTCCACTTAGACTATGATTTTTTTTTTTCCTTTAAATTTTATTTGGTTGTGTGTTGTTGAGAAAAACAGACATTAACTCAATACCTTCTACATGTTCAATTTGCTGTTGTTGTTAAGTGTCTGAGTCGGTTCCAACTCACAGAGACCCTAACCACAACAGAACAAAACAGGATCGGGTCCCACACCATCCTCACATCCTCACAACTGTTGTTTGATTACTTTCTTCAAGTTTTGAAACCATTCTCCGAGTTGCTCCTCTCTCACTAACATCAACTCACTGCTCACAAACATTCCTACTATTTAATCTTTCAGACTTGCCTGCTATCAATTGGCTCCCAAGAAGAGTTTTTAAAAGAACATAATGCTCAAGGCAGACATTCATCACTAATGTTAAGCTGTACTACTAGTTGACTTTAGGAAGAGTTCAGGGGATACTTTTGGTTTAAGGTTTAAAGATGATCTCAGAGCAATGGTTTCAGGGATTGTGGCACTGTAGGATCAGCACTGGGCTAAGAACCACAAAGTCAGCAGTTCAAACCCACAAGCCACTCCTTGGAGACCCTATACAGGGTTGCTATGAGTTGGAACCGACTCAATGGCACTCAACAACAGCCTCCATGGCTCCGGAAAGTCTTGAGTCCATGAGTTTGTTCTGTGATTTCCCTCTTTTAAATAAGATTCTTTTACGGATTCTCTGATCAAAATGTTCACTAATAGTAGCTGGGCACCATTGAGTTCTGGTCTCAGGGCAAAGGAGGTGGCTGTTCACAGAGGCAATATGCTACACATTCCACATCTTCCTCCTATTCCTGACTCTCCTTCTTCCTCTATTGTTCCAGGTGACTAGAGAGACAGATGGCTTTTAATTCACAGCATCCCCATGTGGAAACTCTGAAGTAAAATTAGTGGCTTAATATTAAATTCTCTGGCTATTACATGCATAACAGTCTGAAGCGAAACAACGTCATAGCACAAGGAAATTAGAGCAAGAAAGAGCTTTCAGCCTCTTGGGTTTCTACTCTTCTTGGAAATAAAGCAGAAGTGGAAATACGTTCTCATGTGAGATAACACTAGTATTTTTGGCAGTAGGAAGACAGAAGCAACTGGAAGCTAAATGATAAAGAAATACCAAAAAACCCACACCACACTCGATGATTTTACATTAATCACCTGACAGGAATGTCCTTATTCAAACGTAGTTTCACCATTGAGCAGATGGTCTGCAGTGCGGGAGATGGGCTCTGCACTAACCAGGTGATCCAGGGCAGTTACCTGCTAAACCAGTCGTGGGGGTCACAACATTACCTTCCCATGAGGTGCCAGGAGCAGTCAGGAGTGCAACTGCAATGACAGGTTCTCAGCACAGAGCGTGGGCTACAGAGAAAGAAAGCCCTCAGTAAATCTTAATAACAGCCAAGGTCCACAACCACGGTTCTTTTTTAAGAAGTGTGAGACGTCTTTAAATAAAGCCAATCAGTCTGGTAAGTGCTCACAGGGGTCTGGAATCCAGACAAGGCAAAGGAGCAAGTTTCTCCTCAATGTTAAAAAGAAAAGTCTTATTGATTTTATTATTTTCCTAGCATATGTTCTCTAGGGAAGGAAAACAAAACAAAAACACCAGAACAAAACAACCAACCAACCGGTACCTCTATGAAACACATCTCTTCCAAAGGCTTTGCTTCATACAAATTGGACCATCAGTAATTCCTAGAATCCTGGATTCACATTTCTGTCACCAGAGAATGAGAAAGAGGTAACCGTTCTCCTTTTTAGAATAAAGCCGTAAGTACAGAACAAAATCAGAATGAATAAACATGATAACAGTTGTACTAAGTTTCAAGAAGAGTATTTAAGGTATTAATATCTAATTCTTTTTTAATTCTATATATATCTTATAAGAATAATGATGTTAAAATGAACTGGGAGAGTCAAAACACAAGAAATCTCTAAAAGCAAGAAAGTTACAGCAAATCATCATCAAGAATGAAAAAGCCCCAAACCAAACCCACTGCCCTGGAATCAACACAAAGAATGTAGAGGACCAAAGCAGATCTTTCTAACAATACCCCAGGGGAAGAGGTTCCACAGAAATGCAAATCTGATTTTCTATTAAGGTGAAGAGCATGCTATTCTATTCCTTGTTATTGTGTAGTTATATTAATATATAATCAAAATTTCAATAGGGAAATGTCAAGAAGGAAATGCTCTGTGGATAATAGATGAATAAAGAGCAGTTTTAGCTGAATCAATAATTACTATTTTCAAGAGAGCTGAATGAGTGTTAAACAAACTTCCTTTTCATCATCTTTATGAAAAATGCCGAAACGAACTGTGCAATCCTCCAACAATGGGGGAGCAGAGACTCATCATGGCAAGAAAATTAGAGGGTTCAATGCTTGCTTCCTGATCAGACCTGCCGTGTACTGACCCAAGGAAACATAAGATTTCTCTTCTTCATGGCTAAACTTTAAAGACATTTTAAAAAGACTGACTTTTGCAATTTTCCCTATCATACTCTCAAAATTACATTAGCTCATACTACTACTTTATGACTCAGAAAAGAGGTTTTACAAACAGACAAACATGAAAAAATTTTAAGAAAGTGAAAAGTCAGAATCGTTTCAAAACTTCAGGCTGTTTACTTCCTTCTGGCTCCATGTAAAATGAAGCCGAGAGAAGCAGGCCTTGGGGGGAACTTTTGGTGCCGGCGAGTCGGTTCTGATTCACAGTGACCCGGTCCTGTGCCATCCTCACAATTCTTATGCCGAGTCCGTCCACTGCTGCTGTCACCGTGTCGTCCATCACGTGGGGGGGGGGGTATCTTCCTTTTTCACTGACCCTCCACTTTACCAAGTACGATGGCCTTCTCCAGGGACAGAGGTAACTTTTGATAGCTAAAATCAGAAAAGGACTCTCCTTTTTCCCCCCATCAATTATGAGTCCGTTTGTTTTAAAAATAGAACTCTTTAAAGAAATAGTCAGTTAACAAACTGGCAAAGTCTGAACATTTTTAATGTAGAATTTTGGAGTAAAATATCAAATGTAATAAACAACTGGGAAGATATCCTAAACATTCTCTAAATGTTTAATCTTTGAGCTCAACTTTTAGGAAGCAAGTGTCAAGTCCTCTGGTTTAAATGTTCCGTCCTACTGGTCCTCCATTCAACATTTGGACTTTGGACTCGGAGCCCTAGTGGTGCAGTGCCTAAGCACTTGGCTGCTAGTCAAAAGGTCGGTAGTTTGAATCTATCAACTACTCTGAGGGGAAAAGATGTAGTAGTCTGTTTCTGTGACGATTTTACATCCTTGGAAATCTTATGGGACAGTTCTAGTCTGTCCTATAGGCAAGATCACTATGAGCTGAGATCAACTTGACAGCAACTGACTTACTTTGTTTGTTTTTGGAAAGGCCATTCTTTTGAGAGTTCTGGAGTGACACTGTGGGATAAAGCACTGGACAGCAAGGTGGGTCTGAACTGCACCAGCTGCTCCTCAGAAACATTTTACAAGGTCACTGTGAGTAGGAACAGACTCGACAGCAAATTGTCTTGGACTGCTACAGACGCTCTGCAGTGAGACATTTCCCACTATGATAACTAATTCCTTCTGGCCTGTTTCTGTTTTCAGTGGCTTTGAAGACATTAAAGGAAAAGCCACAAATTTAGACACAAAGTTTTGGCCATTACAACTACTTCACCTTTTACTGAGATGCCTCCCTCCTCCATGAGCTACCTGCCTCATATCAATATATGAAGCACCTTCTTAAAAACCATCTCACCCAAAAACTCCCACAAATTAACATTAAAGGCTGCAGAATTATTCCCAGAACCACACTGAATTATTTTCAAACCAAATACTCTTTAGCTGTATCATCGTGACATTTTTTTTCTTTTCAATAAAAAGTTAAAACTTCCAGTAGCTCAAAATACCAACAGAGAGGGAAAAAGTCTTCACATCACGTATCAATGCTATCCACTCTGTACATATGGTAGGT